GTGTGTGTGTGTGTGTGTGTGTGTGTCTGTGCCAGGGATGTGTGAGTAGTGCACTTGTTTTGTATATTAAACGTGTTTGGTACGATAACGGCTGTAGCTTATGAATCATTTTAATTGGTTTGTGGTAGAACTTGATATGAAGTAGCATAAAATATTTTGTTGGAAGGTTTAGGTGTTGCAGCGAGATAGTTGTGGTTAAAAAGGGATCATGTCCTTATTACGCGGGATGACGTAGTCAGCCAGCGTCTTAAATTCGGGACCGCATTCCTTTCGTCGTCTTGGGAGTCAAAATTACCTTGTTTTTTTAACTTTCCCGTATCCCGTGCCCGTCCCGAAAAAATGTGTGATTTTTATTGGCTGCAAATCACGTGCAAGTCAGGTTGGGTTGCACAAGGAGAAAAAAGATACTGCGTCAGCAAAGAAGGGAAAAGTAAGCTTACAGGGTAGAGGAGGATGAAGACTCAAGGCTGGGCTCTAGATCTAACGGCGCAAGACTTGGCCTCGGGCGACTGAAAATATTGTCTAGGTGCCCCAGCCGGGCGACTTGCTGGTGTTGGTTTCTTGATTTTGTTGATTTACAGTGAAAAAGCTAAGAATGTCTAGAATTTATTACTTGCGAAATCGTAGCTCGCTCGGTGGCTTCGCGACCCAAAAAACGAACGCTCCGCTCGCTAAGAAACTCTTGAGGTCGACTTAATAAGTAGCAGTATCTAGCATGTCTATCAAAAAGCTTTAAGAAAGTGTTGTTAAATCGGACAGCGGGCAGGCGTTGATGTTCAAAGGTCGTTTCACGTGAATTCACATGTAACATAATCCTTGACTATGAACGTGACAAGCTGCACAGTTTTCGATAGTAACAGCTTTTCATAATAACATTGAAATTTTTCCTTCAAATTAGGATGGTTCATTAGTTAGTTTTTCTAAACAAATTGTTACGTTTGCTCTGACGGGTAAAGTACGGTCGGCGACGCAAAACAATAGTTTTGTACTTAGCAAAATCGCTGAATAAACACGGGAGTCGCTCTTTTATGTTAATTAAAATATTTTTACCTTTTTTTTCACTCCTGTGTCTGCGAGGCTAAAACATAACTAAGATTGTTGTTCCAGTAAAATACGATGTATAAAAAAGAAAACAGACGACTATTATTGTGATTGTTTCAGAATCGGGTATAAATCTATAAAATCCCCCATTGTCTTTCGTGTCGTGGCAAGGCTTTACGTATCACGTACTAAAAATTAATACACAAAAGCTCATTTGTCCTGAGCATTTCACCGATAATATAGAAAGAAAATACTTCCGTTCTGCGCTTAAACGACGACTTTACAACGAGATTGTCTATTCAAAAGAGATAATAGTTTTGGGGCGGCCCGGAGGGGGGACACTTCCGTATAAGAGGCTAATGGGGATGTGCCGCTGGATGGGGGTTGCATTTTCACGACTGGATTAACTATAGTGGGGTTGCATTTTCAAAAGAGTTACTGGAATGGGGTCGCACATTTTCGGATTTTTGGGGTAAGAAAGTCATTCATATTTACGGTTAGCAAACGTGCCAGGATATTTGTAATGTAGGTGAAAAGTAAAGTGTTCTTCATTCAATGAGGCAATTCATTTTTTGATGACCTATTTGGAAGTTGGGATCGCAAAAATTACATATTTGCCCAAAAGTGACTAATATGGGGTCTACAATTGGCCACAGAATAGACTATGATGGGGTAGGGGCTCTGAGAGGCCAACGGCACATACCTAGCAAAAATTAACCCAAGTAACCCCCCGGGGGGCGCCGCGGTTTCGTTGAAATCATAACAGTTTTCCTGGAAAGCTCCACGGGATCTCAGTCAATCTTAATAAGCGAATTTTCTTTTCAACGTAAATCAAACTGATTAGTAGAAAGAATAGTGCCCTTATTTTTTACCCCCAATTTTTTTTTTATAAAAGATACATAAACAGACCAGAATCTTACTTTTCCATTTAAAAAACATGAAATATTCGGCGGCGTTGCCCATGTTTCTCATATGGCGCGAAAACTTACTTTCATATGACAACATGCGGGTAATTTTTTTTCGCACGCTCAGGAGGTCAAAGGGATGTGATTTTTCATGAAAAAAATGTTCACAAAATTCTGCTTGTCTTGTTAAGGAAATAATTTGTTTAATTTTTAATAAGCTCACTGATTTATTAATTTGGGCGACCAACTTGGAGGTCCGGGCACCCCAGCTAAAATGCTTGGGGAGCCCGAAGGGCCCCCTGAAATTTTCCCTAGAGGACAGCCCTGCAGCCCTATTGTTGAGTGTGGAAGTGCATTTTTTGTTAGCCGGTTATACTCAGAAAACTCCATACAAACCCTTCTAATTTTTTTTTGGGTCGACCCAAAAAAATTTAGAAGGGTTTGTATGGACAATTTGCCCCGAAATGCTCATTTTTGGCAAGCAGGCCTCTTGGACATTGTTCTTTCAGAATATCCTGACAAATCCCACAATTTCAGAAATTTCATTTTTATGACGTCGCACTTTAGTACTCTATTAAAATATGATAAAACATCTCCCAGAATCCTTTGAGGCAATTTTTTTTAAAGCTCTATAACTTTGACAATTTTATACGTAGAAGAATGTCAGACCACAACAAGATAACATTTGCCATCTGGGTAATGAGGTCATCAGTCACCTGACTATGGCCAAATTATCTTTCTGTTGCTCTGACAATATTTCGCAATCGATTTCAAAACAAATAGCATATTTGAGGTTTTGGTTGTGTGGGACGCGAAGCGCGCGCGAGCGCAGCCCCATAGCCAAGAAAATTTCGTAATCTACCCATGCGAGAAATTTTGGTACTCACGTGACCGTCCGTCCGGCACACGATACAACCGTACTCGAATAATATTTCTTTTCTTAATTGCCTCTTTAAACAGGTATTTCTTGTAATGACGAAAACCACCGGGCCGAGTGTGATGTAATCATTGATACAGGCTATCTAGGGGATACTGAGACGTCTTCCAGTACAATGTCATCGCCATCACGTTCTGATTCTGAAATTGATGATACAGGATTTTGTTTTAAAGGTAATAGTTGAATAGCGTTTCTTAAAATGCTGGTTTAATTTTGCTTATTTATTTGTTTTTGAACATGCATGGACTGAATCTTGTTGATAAACAAAAGGACTTTTAGCGGCATTCACTCTAAAATTTAGAAATGTGTACCGCCGCAAAGGGCTTTCACTGTCACCAACACGTTCTTCAAGGCAGTGAAATTCGGAAAAAGCCAGCGAAAATTCCGAGCTCTAGCCTAGAATCGAACTCATGACCCTTCAAAGGTAACGATAACAGTTAAAAAGTAGCTTTCAATTCACTTACCCTTTATGGTAAGATTTGTTTAATTATGTTCTTGATTTTAGCATTAATCTGGTTAGCAGCTACTAGTACAGTCGACTCCCGTTTTTGCGGACACCCTCGGGAGAAAGGTTTAGTGTCCGTAATAGCGAGAGTCCGTAATAGCGGGGTACGAGAGAGGAAAATTGTTTTCTCTTTAAAACTTATGAAGTAATATGTTAAAGTCCCAGAAGCATTGTAGTTTCGACAGTTCTTTATTTCTTTTAACTATAGATCTAAATACGTATGCTGTATTATCACTTCCAAGCTCCTGCAATGACAAGGGATACATAAGAAAGGGCTTAAAAAACCAATAGGAAACTCCTTCCGTAACGTGAATGGCTAAAATGTTAACTTGCTGTCAAATAAAATGTTTTTTATTGTTCTTGGCAGCTCTTTTATCGTAGAAATGCTGCACAGTGTACTCAGAACAGAAACCTGTCTAACGACTTTTGACTTTGACAGCAGAGTGTTAAAATAACGCAAAATGTTTGTAAGCTCTAATGGCAATGTCTTTTCTCCCTAAAATGTTTTACAGCAGTCATTTGTTTACTCTTTTACAAAGAAGCACTCGATAAAACTTTGTGTTATTTTTTCCTTTATTGTAACGTCGCTTTATTCTGTATGTTATGTGAGTCAGGATTTTTGACGAAGTACTCAAGCGTCCGCTATAGCGAGAGAAAAAACAAGTGGAATGTCACGCTTGGGGGGAGGAAAGTGTCCGCATTTCCGTAATAGCGAGAGTCCGTAAAGCGGGAGTTTGTTTCAGTCATTTCTTAATGCGTTTCGCCGGGGTGCTGGCTCTTGTCCGCATTAATGGGGTCTCCGTAATAACGAGGTGTCCGCAAGGCGAGAGTTGACTGTAGTCGGTAAACACTTAATCCTATCGATAATATTACTGTGGGTAAAAAGACCATCAAGACTAAACTCTTACATTACAGTGCGGACACTCAAACCGGGACACTTGGAAGAAGATAATAAAAGATTCTCAAGTTTTTTTGCCGACGGACCAATAAAATTCAAGTATTCAACTATGCAACCGTTGAAACCTTTTTAAAAACCGTTTGAATTACCTGACGACTCAGGAAACAGCCCTCAAATTGATGGATGACCTGGGAAGTTATTGGCTCGTATGCAAAAGAACTTGAGGATCTTGTTTTCACAAAACGTTGTGATTGGACAATGTTCTTCCAAGTGTCCTGGTTTGAATGTCCACATTGTAAGTTTGAACAAAGCATGCAGATTTGCAGTTATTTTTACCCATACGGGGATTAGTGTGTTGTGAAACTGTATCTCTATGATCTGCAGGTTATCGGTTGGTTCTTATAAACAGAGACTGAAGTGGCAAGTAAAAAACACATTTACTAGGGTCATGTCTGACACATGATTTTAAAATTTTGTATTCTTTGCAGCTCCCAAGGAAATAAAAGCACGAGGAGAAAGAGCGCAGCTTATTTATCAACGTGCTCTTAGAGATGGAGCTGTTAATGTTCAACGAACTCGGATATTGCTTATTGGTCAGGATAGGGCGGGGAAAACAAGTTTGAAAAAATCTCTCATTGGTCTACCATTTGATCCTAAAGAAAATAGTACTGAAGGAATTGAAGTGGATCCGTCAATCTTTCAAGTGGATGGTCATGAAGTTAAGAACTGGCAGCCTATTGATAAGAGTGAGCAAGGGTTGTTGGGCTGTTCTGAAGATGTGGCACAGAGGGTGGTGGAAAAGCTTTGTATTGTAAGTCGCTATCCTCGGTTTCGGGAGGAGGAAAAAGGTGCAGAAAAACACGACAGTGACCAGCTTGCAAATGAAAACTATAAGAGTGGAACAATGGTGGATGATACTGATGGTGAAAAGAGAGACGATTCATTTTTGAATCAGGTTTGTCTCCAGTTATATCCTCGCATTTGTATTGCACTTATCAAAAAAAGAAGTCATCATCACACAAATCGGAATATTTTTGAAACCGTATATTATTGATGACATGAATCGGGCTTCCGCTCACATGAAAGCCAGTGAATCCGCTCACCAAAACCGCATCTTATTGAAACCGCTCTCTGCAGTGGTTTTCTTAATTCCGTCGTTTGCAGTCGATCGGTTGTTTGGTAACTCTGAATCTGAAAAAAGAATTTATTCTTTGAGAAAAGTGTAGCAAAAGTCTTGAATTTAAGGTAAAATCACATCTTTTGGAAAAGTTGTCTTTTTGCTTCGTGTAAATAAGTAGCAAGGTTACTTTGTCTATCTGATGATTGAGATGTGTTTGAATTCGAAAAGTTTCTTAGAATAAAAGTAGCTGAATAGTATAATGCGGTTTCATAAACTGTCAAACAAGACACCTTTTGCATTTTTTATGCATCAAATTTCCCTACCAAGCATCAAACGGGTTTGCATTCTTGAATACTCTTAGACTGCGAGCAGTGTGTGTGTGATCTAGAATACTATACTTGTTGGTACACATTTACGCTATGATGATGCTTTTGTGTTTGAGTTGGTTGGTCTTATTTTAGATAAATAGTATTATTGTCTTTTAGAATTTCAACAGTTATAGTTCTCTCTCTTTTTCTGCATGGTTCTCTGTTACAGGTCTATGATCAAAAAATGGATAGTGTCAGTGAACCGCCATCATCAGAGCCTGAACATGAGTTAATGATTGATACTACTTTACCTTCTGACGAGATAGAAAAACACGCTGAGAAGTGGATAAAGTGTGTAAAAGGTAAAAAAGCTGTTACCGAAAAATCCGTCCGTCGCATTGAACTGTGGGATTTTGCTGGACAACAGCTGTACTATACGTTTCATCCTGTATTTTTAACATCACGTGCAATATGTATCTTGGTGTGCAACCTCAACAAATCATTGCATGAAGTTGCTCAACCCTGTGTGAGACAAGGAAATCATAACTTCACGTTAGACAACCCAAATGGGGAAACAAATTTGGACAATCTGCTATCTTGGCTGTCCACAGTGCATGGCATCACACAGATGCGAGGAGAAACTTGTGATGACGCAGAAGGAAAGCTGCCTCCTCTGCGTCCCCCTGTGATCATTGTAGGCACGCATGCTGACAAACCATTTGAAGACATTACAACGATGAAATTAAGAATACAGAAGGAAATTGCTGGTAAGGACTATGAAGGACATGTAGTGCAGCCCATCTTCAGCATTGACAACACTTCAAAATTAATTCAGAGGAGGTTGAAAAAGGTTTTCAGGAAGGATACAAACATTGATGGCATCCAAGAGCTAAGAGACAAAATCATGGAAGTGTTGAGCAAGGAGCCATACATGAAGGAAAGCATACCTGTGAGGTAAATAAAGTGAATAATAGACCACAGATGTCTTTTGCCGAGAATTTCCATGTTAATCAAGGGTTGAGGTTTGGAAGCATTAAAAATATTATGGGCATACATGTACATATACACCGTGGGCCTTTGGTCCAGTCCTTATGGCATTTTGCTTGCACGCATGTCTAAAGAATAAAGTTTTATCGGTAAATAGTTGGCTACGCAGGGATGCAAAATCCTCGTATAAGATACCTAGAGGCTGCCGGCACATCGTAAGTCCTTCACTTAAGTTGAAGGGAAGTCTAAAGACATTGTCAGTAATACGAAAAAAAAAAAAAAAAAAAAAAAAAATGGCGACGCAGGGAAGGAAAATCCTCGGATAAGATACCTAGAGGGTGCCGGCACATCGTTAATCCTTCTATTAAAATGAAGGGAAAGCAAAAAAAAATTTTAAATAAAAAAAAAAAAAAAAAAAAAAAAAAAAAAAACAGGTGAAACACGCGAACGCAGAAAGATTACCTACGTCACTCAAAAGCTTCCTAATATGTGATGCAGGACTTCTCTATTGAGATTTAATTTATTCCAATGCATCAATTTAGCCAAGAACAAAGCCAAATAAAATTTAAACCAAGCATGATAATGAACCACAGAGTCACCCTATATCACAACGTTGCTTTACCTTGAAGGAAATCGTTAAAGGAAGGGTTTGATGGGATGCAGCTTTGTAAAACATTTAATAGGATCTATGATTAAATGTTTCTATGATTATCATGATCATTGGCACATCGCAGCAACTAGCTAAAGTATCTCTTAACAGCCTTCGTGTTGGGACTGCAGCTATCACTTCTGTGTCGTCTGCAAGGAACTTGGGCTCATGGTTTGATTCCAAGCTGACGATGGTAACCCATATATCAAAAACATGTAACTCTGCCTTCTATTATTTGTATAATCTGAGACGAATAAGAAAATATCTATTTAAAGACAGCACTTTAAGACGTTCAGGTCCCTAGGGATCCACTTGACCTCGAACGAAATACTATGATGGAAGCAAATTTGAAAAACAACTAGGGCTAAATCCTGGAGATCGCATTTGCTGCTGCCGTCGCGGAGAATGGATTCGACGTTGTGGTTGTCAGAATACCAAAAAACCTTGGAATTAGACAAAGGGCTCGCGTAGGCTAGTAAACGTTAGTAAGGCAAGACAAACCGCTTTGAGGGCTCTCCAAGTCGATCTACGAACACTTTCCGACCAATTCTGATGAAAAATCAGCTCAGGTTCAGACTCCACTTAAGCGCCGCAGCCTGCCGGAATCGGAAGCAGGGCGTAAGAAGCTAGGGCGTTGAAACGCTCATACGCGCTCTCTGGTTCAGCTGTGATGTGGAGTAGGACTGAAACTAGTTCGCCTTTCCGCTCTCGATCTGCCGTCAGGGCAAGAAAAATGGCGCCGTCTAGCTGGAGGTAGGTTCGAATTTATTGCTTTATATCTTTAGATCGCTGCAATCTATAATCAGATTTGATATTTGTAGTATTTCTATGCGATATACAGACAATGTTGAGGTGATATTTTATAGTTAGTCTTATAAGTTAAGGTGTTTTTTCGTCTATGTTTATGCAGTGTCAACGTGGCCTATCGAGTGTTACAGGTTGAAGGTCGCGTTTTATCTTGCCAGTCAAAACCAAATAATAATAAACGGCTGTGCGTGCAAATTTTTAGAGTGAACTTTTATGAACCTTCAAGGTTTTTTAACGACTTTGACTTTTTGACGACTTCATAATGGCGATAGCAAGGTTTTTTTGAGTGTCCGTTTAATAGCGCATAGTTAGTAACTAATGGTTAGCGTTGAGCTTGTTAGTAAATTAAAAGATTTCAATTGCCCAATTTAGCGATTTTGCATTTTTCAATATACACTAAGATGGTAAATAATTTTTTTTAGTTATAGAACCGTGACCCAAGAAGACCAAGAAGGTTCTCGTTACTTTTAACGTTTTGCTAAATCTAAAGGTTGTATTGTACAGAAACAGAATGAAGCGTATGGAGAAATTTTGCTTTAAATCCCCACAAAGATTCCCCTGTAAAATTAAATCATACAATGTGCTTTTTACAAAAAATTTATGATTTTTTGCAGGACAACAGTAAGTGCCCGGCCTGAAAAGACTACTAAAACACACACTGAAAGATAAACGAGTTCATAATACTGATAATATGAAGAACATGAAGAGGTCTTAATTTGATTGCAAGTAGAATAAAATTAGACTGAGAAGCATTGCATTTTTGTCTTCAGAGGCTTAAGTGTGGTGTTGCACAAACTACAGTCAATTCTCTCAGATGAACACTATTGGGACTGGCACAAAATGTCCGTATTAATGGACAAGTGTAACTTTTATAGAGAGTAAAATAAAATTACTTGGAAAAGTAGTAGAGACCAACTCGATTTCGTGGAGGTGCCTTATCAGTTTGATTGCACTACTGTTTACATTTATATCACTTTTGGTTAACAATATTTCTAGTATTATTTCCTCTCTCTTAATATTATATAAAGTAGTTACAAGGAAACAGGAAAGTACCGTAAAATTCCAAAAATAAGCCCCGGGCCTTGTTAAAAAGTTTCCGGGAAAAACTCCCCGAATAAAAACCTCCCCGAATATAAGCCTCCCCGAATAGATGCCTCCCTTTAAACGCAAAGTTTTAGCTAACCCCCAGTCTTATAGTTGAAAGTAAATTTACCGTTTTAGCTTTGTTTTACTTTGTATTTGACGGCAATTTTCCAAGAACAAGCCCCCGGGGGGCTTATATTTGGAGGGGCGATTGAACGGAGGGTTTTTTGCGTTACCAGTTTGGGGGGCTTATATTTGGAGGGGCTTATACACGGAGGGGCTTATTTTCGGAATTTTACGGTACTTTGGAATCAAGTTTGATTAAGCCTGGCTGCAGTTTCTTAAATTTAACCAAGAGTAAAATTAAATCATACTGGACATGAAGTATACAAGTGTGCTAGGGTTACTGGTCACACTAACAAGTTTGTTTTTCAATGGTTTAATAGCTATTACAGGTCATTTCTATTTCATTTGTGCATAATTCTGTATTTCTTGTTTGCAATATACTTTTGAATTTGTATGTTGTACATGTTTTATCAGTGTGTTTTATGTTGTATCTGTAAGATTTATCTCCTAGCAATGTCTGGTTTTAATGTAAGACTAGTGAATGTTTAAATTCTTTTAAATTCCTTAGTATGTCTTGCATGGGTAGTTTTCAGTGACCATTTCATTACAAAAAGCTGGTATTATCAAACAAAAATATTTGCTTGGCTAGTTATTTGTGTTCTCGCGACCTCTTTGTTTAGTTTTTCAAGGGCAGTGAATTTTATTTTTTTCACATGCAAGATAACAAATAATGATGATTTTATGACATTTTAAATTTACCCGGAATTTAGTTTTCACAATTTGTCCAACTGTAGTGCGTAATATTGGAGTTAGTTAGAGAAGAATACTGATGTGCACCAACAAATCCAAACTTTAATAGTGAAAAAAGATCATCTGGCCTTGAAACTGGGCAGCAAAAAATAAGTGCCATAGCTGATGATATTAAACTAAAGTGGAGAACCGATAATATTAGTCTAAAAATAATGTCAGTTCTATCATCTGGGTTGTGATGCCACTTTCTTACCCAGTCACGAAATTTACTGGTCACGGAGGTGGAACTATATTCAATACAGATATTTGTTCGCGTGGGAAAAGTTAAAAAAAAAAAGAGGAAACGAACGGGAGAAAAAATAATTTGGTCCTTCGCTATTGCTTTCAGCAAATGAATGCCAAGGGATAATGGCTAACGTCCGCTGGATAATCTCTCTGACGGTTCAGTATAATGTCCGCCATCTTGGTTTGTCTCTTTGGTAGTACCCAGACCCTTGCATCACAGCTAGATCGCTCGACCCCGCTAGTTTCAACGCCCTAGCTCTTACGCCCTGATCGAAAGTATCGGAGAAGCCGGAGCTTACTCTCACTGGAAGCGAACTGGAACCCCCCAATAAATTTTGCCGTTGAGAGCACTAACATTGTTCGACCAAAATTCAATTTCATACAAAGAATCAACGGGCAGGAAAACCTCGCTATCCCAGGAAACAGCTGAGTAAACAACTGAGAAAAGAAATCGGGCCGTGATACACGCCACGGACCCCACGTAACTCGAGAGGGAAATAATTTGACCGGTTACACACGGGACGCGTAGAACGTGGACCATGGAGGAAGACTTGTATGAAGACAAAGCCGCCAGGTCGTGAGACAATTTAGCAATGCGTTCATCCGTGGCTCTAATACTTCTATCGAGAGTGTTATGTTGAGATGAACACGAAGCCACGAGAAAATTTGAACGGGCTCCCACAGGGACTTTTCCTCATTAGGAATTCGAACAAAGCCAAACTTAAGCAAATCGGCATGGACAGTCCACAAACTGTAAATTTTGTTCTGAACGCGATAGGCTCCTCCTCCTAGACCATAGTCAAGAAAAATGGAAATAGGGATACCTTGGCTTCTTCTTGATTTCTGAAGCGGTTTGAGGGAGGCTGACAAGAGCCCGAAGGGAAGCACGCAAAGTAGAAAATACCTAAAAATCCCGGTGCCGAGATCCCAGGCGAACCCAAGGAATTTCCGGTGATCAGGGAAAATTACGATAACCGGACTTGAGATAGAATATGAATAAATAAAAACCTATCTCAAAAATTTAAGTGGCCATGGACAAGTCTTCGGACTTGAATTTCTGTTTGTAGAAAAAAGTGCAAACGTGCCAAAAATCCAGGATTAACCTTTATTAGCCGGAGCGGCGGGTCAAACAGAAAGCAGGTAAATGATAGCTGGAATGCAAAAAATTTTTAAAAGGAGGTTGAAACTGAGAAGCTCATTAACAGCTACGGAAGCAAAAGAACTGTAAACACGTGCGGAGGCATTGTAGGTTTTGTAAAAAAGCATAGAAAGCTGGAAGAAGGGAATTTTGTAACTAGACTAATAATATTAAAAATGAACCGAGAAACTAGCAAAGTATGCTAGAAATAGAGTGTTTTCACTCACGTGGCCAGCGTCTATGCAAATGCGTTGGAACAAAAGAAAGCATTCGCATAAGAACAGAGTTCAACTCCCACAGGATTGGTTTGGGACACCAACATGGCCGCCGTTTCATTGTTTTGGGACACCAATATGGCCGCCGTGACGTCATATGAAAACACTCTATAGATAACTATGAAAAATCTTCCCCAAACTGAGGGTTGAATAGAAATATCAACGGTACTCTCAGAGTTCTAAACCGCGCCTAAAACTGGCGTTGTGACGGCAGAAGAAACTGGTATAACATCGAGACAATCCTGATCCGTATTACGGCTTACCGCCTCAAAAAATAAATTACTAAATTAGAATAGACTGCACCTGATTGTTGTCCTTGGTCTAGCCATTTAGGAGTTTTGGATGTTTGCTTGGCCATCGTCGGGTAACAGGCAAAACAGGTCCCAACACTGGGTCGACGAGAAGTCGAACAACGGGAACGTTTGACATAAGAGGCTGGGGTTGCATCTGTGAACTTGAGGTGGACGCCGGCGTTCCTACTGGCGAGGATCTGTTGTTGAGAGTTGAAAGAGTGGTCTTCTTCTTCTTACGGGCCTAGTGCGCTACACGGGCGCATAATTCTGTAATGTGGATCCTTTGAAACTGGTCTTCGTTTGCCTTCTTCTTGAACTTATGTGGTTCGTTATACTTTAGTTTCTTAATTTCTTTCATCTGCTGCTCGGCCAAATATTCGTTAGCGCGCTTGATTTGACCAACGGTTTCTGTTAACAAATCTTTAAACAAGTCCATAAACTGTTTGTTATTCTCCCGAATGAGATCGGACACTTCATCTTTGCTGACAGATACAACGCAAAAAGAGCCGATAAGAACGTTAAGAAAAATCAAAGAGAGGTTTGTTCGTAAGCCTAGATGACGTACACGTGATATACGCAGCCTTGTATACCCCCGATATGGCTACCCATAGTGGACCCGGCCCAGTACCCAGGCCCTGTTGTATCTCGTGTCGTCAAAATATTTATTTCTGCCTTCTTCGCGGACTCATTCGTCAGAAATAACATTTTTATTTTATAACAATGGTTAGTGCACGATCTCATCATTTATTTTATAGCATCTCCTTTGCCACAGTTTGTCTCTTTGTTCATATTATTCACAACTGCTTGCGGTGAACAATCGTTGAAAGGTTGGCAAACGCAGCTGGAGAATTTATTCAACCTTGCATTTGACTGTTAGTAATGATCTTCCTTGACACGTGAACAAACGGTTCTCTATTTTTTTCGGAGGGAGGTTGGGGTGAAGTGGGCTTGCTATTTTGGGGATTCCTTAGCATTAATTATTATCTTTTTTAGCGGTACCTTCTGGACTTATAAGTGGCCACATTTTGTGACGTTACATTCGGGGTCCGTTGCTTTCGGAATTTTACGGTAGATGGCAACAATAAATTACCTGAGCCCTAATACCTAAATAGTTGCCCCTTAAATCGTCAGGACTTGTAGAATTTATATTTGAACCACTCCACAACGGCCACTTTGGGGACAGAAGAAAGTAGCCGTTGTTGAGAGGTTTAAACAAGAGTCAATGTATGGACTGCCGCCACAAAAAAGTGGCCGTTGTAGAGAGGTGGCCGTTAGTGGAGGTTCGACTGTAGTTAGCTTATGTGATTATGTTTATCTACCTGTTTTAGACTGCGTGTAAACTTCTGCACGTGAATCGCTTTAAGTACACCGCCCGATGGCACGAAAACTTGTATTCATCTTTTTATAATCTAGGTGGCTGAACTTTGAAAAGGTCGTCATTACTTTGCTGTCCAAGAAAGTTTACCATTTGAACTTGAGGAAACTTCAAACCTATGTAAGGGACAACTGCTTTATAAATGACGAGGAAGAGTTCACTACCATGTTGGATTTTTACCATGACCTGGGGATAATTATCAAGCATTGCAGCACAGTCATTCTCAGTGCTGAGTGGTTAATAGACCTATTCAAGCAGCTGATACCTATTCCACAATTTGATGACACGGTAAGGTCCGAAATACATTCGGTAAGTGTTTTCAAACCAATTCGGCAGCTTTCTCTTCTAGCTCTTTTTATATATTTATTTGACACACAATAGTAAAAATACAACAACAAAAATGTAAGATAAGTAGCAAAAGGGAAGTGGCGAGGAGACCTAAGAGAAACTATAAAAAGCTTCTTGGAGATTAGGCCTCCTCGAATTACGGGCTTTAGTTGCTTAGATCAATTCAAGCACAAGATGGCACAAAGTCTTAAGTTGAAAAATAAACCCTAACCCTACCCTTTACAATGTTCTTAAAGGAAGAAAGGGAACGAGAGTTGATAACTTCGTTGTCAAGTGAAGTGAAAAAACTTGGGATCTTGAAAAAAGGGAATTTTCTTAGTGTTTGTTCGACAATAGGGTAGACGGTACGCCTAGGAATTGCTAGTATTGTTACAAGACTGGTATTGATATTGTTTTAGGAAAAAATCTTATGTAACATGAATATATTGGTGACGATGGCCATTTAATTCAACATTGCATTCTGCTTGCAAAACAGCTTCTTATTCAGTCCAGTGCTAAACCACGAATACCGCGGATGTTCGAGTTTATCACATCCTCGGAGACCCAGGGGCAGATAGCGAGGGCGATGGAAAGTCTATTCGGACGGAAAAATAAGGCACGAAGAAAAGTAAAGAACGGCGAGAAGAGCCCCTGGGGACAATGTCTTACCAGACCAGTTCCAAACGGTCGCCGCCGTTCTGGCTTCTGATTGGTGCCAGAAAAACACAAGTTTTCACGAGGGCGATGGAAAGTCTATTCGGACGGAAAAATAAGGCACGAAGAAAAGTAAAGAACGGCGAGAAGAGCCCCTGGGTCTCCGAGGATGAGTTTATCAAAAATAATGGTATGATCTACGGCCTCAACTGCTTTTGAGAGATCACGAAAAATACAGACATCTTCTGAAAAACCTTTTAAGAGCGTGTCTCCGTAAGAGCCGACCAGTGATTTTGGATCGAGAAATATATTTCCCTTATATTCTGGGATATTAAGGCCTCTACCTAAGTAGTTCCAAAAATGCATTTCGTTTGACCGAAAATGCGATATATAGCCTTTGAAACTGCAAAAATCGCCAACATTGGCGGCGCTATAAAAAACAAACACTTGGCTCAAGAAGCCCGATTTTCTTTTTAATAAACAGATACACCACTCTAGATTTCCTAGCCGTATCACAGTTCCGAATTATTTATTCGTTTTAACAGACTTTCAAAAAAGTCCTTCGTCGGATTTCAAATGGCGCGGGACGTAGAATCTTTTTTCTGGCACGTGTTATCGGCCTTCCATCAAAACACGAAAATAGCTCAACTTTGAGGGCAGTTTTAAAAAGTGTGGCACCTGTCTGAACTTTGCTATCTGTATTAATACAAACTAGAAATGATAGTAAAATATAAAAAGGAATAAAATTTTGGTGCTCTTTACGTTTTGGAACTTGACCGCCCTTTGAGTTTCCAGAAATTTCGAAGACATGATAATAAACGAACACTTGCTTTGTTATTCTTCTCCTTTGACTTCTCTGTTTGTAATGTCCTTCTTGGTTTGTAAGGGATACTATTGTGCCTGAAGCAATCGCTTTTACTATAAAATTTTTGTTGTTTTTTTTCACATATGTCCTCCAACGGTTTTTTTGTCTTGTTTGTGATAAATGTAAGGGCACGCGTTAAAGGTCGCGAGCGTGACCCGGTTGTTTCGTGACATTCAAGTTTTTTCCTCTCTTTGCTAGATGTAATTGCCTTTGAATCGCCATACATCGATAAATTTACTTCTTCAGGTTAACGTAGGTGCATTGACAAAATTGGCTTAACACATTTCAGCCAAGAAAATCGAGAATCTTTTCGAGATAAAACGCTACTAAAGTTCCTTCCAGACCCCACTGTTCGGCGGAAAAAATTGGACTAAACTAACACTTCGAGAAGGAAATGAGGTAATGTTCCCGGTCTCTACGTTGTAATAAATTATAATAAGTTATTTGTTTAGCCTTTTTTTTTTGTTTGTTTGTGTCGTGTCTAAATCTTTATACACATGTGCGGTTATTACTAATACGGCCACTCTTTACTCTGACCACAGGCAGCCCAAGCGCACTATGAGTGAGTTCGGGCTTCAGAGGTCATTTGGTCGGAATATACTAGAATTATTAGTGTATTATCTGATGCCAAATAAATGCAAAAATCTTAAAGATATGAAGTCTTAAGATAACGAAGGTCGATATTTCTTGCATTATAACATGTGATTTGGGCCCTTATTGTTCGAATTTTATCACATGTATTCGAATCTACAACGCTAAGAAAAAAAAATCATGATCACGCGAAATATTGATTAAAAAAGTCCCCTTACCTTTAGTTCATAGCCACTCTGTGTCCTACGACCAGTTTAAGCGCCGTTTAGTCGACTTTCTTTCCATCAAGTACTGAACACTAAGGGCTCGTAATTTTACGTCGGCACATCGAAATAGTCATGATCATCTTCGTGCCAAACCCGAGCCCCGAGCCCCGAGCCCCGAGCCCCGAGCCCCGAGCCAATGTTGGCGATTTTTGCAGTTTCAAAGGCTATGGCGCCGGTGCTGACCGGCCGGAAATTCAAAAATTCGTAAAAAAAATATATTTCGCATTTTCGGTCAAACGAAATGCATTTTTGTAACTATTCAGGTAGAGGCTTTAATATCCCAGAATATAAGGGAAGTAAATTTTTCGATCCACTTCTTACGGAGACACGCTCTTAATCACTCTACATTTTATTTCTCAGGAACCCAGGGTTTCCAAACTCTGGCAGGAAGTTAAAGAAAGCGGTGTCCTGCGCTTGGAACTGCTTCATCATGTATTTTCTAAGTTTCTTCTGAAGGGCGCTGCAAAGGATGACATTCTTGACTTGATGCAACAATTTGGTTTGATTGCAAAGTTTTCACCTTCTAAAACTGATGTAAAGTATCTTGTGCCATGCCAGCTTAGAATGCCACCTGATTCCATTTGTTCCATGGTACCCTCAAGCTCAGACCCTTGTCTTTATGTTTACTTTTTAACTGGTTTTGTCCCTCATGGCCTGTTCACACGGCTTGTTTCTCGACTGGTCAGGTGGTGTTCTGAGGCTGGTCCAGCTCAGTCCCCTACCCTATATCAAAATGGCGCATGTTTTGTCATTGGGAGAAAAGTTATCCATGATTTAGTTCTTACTTGCAAGAAGCAGTTCATAAAGTTTTTCGTCAAGCAAAAAACCCAGGGTCAGAAGATCTCAGTGGAGGAGACAAGTGAGGTGGCGGTGCTGGTGCGCAAGTTTGTGGAGGCAACTCTACAAACTTTGTCACATGATCTTCTCTATCTGCGGGGAGTGCAGTACGAGATTCGTGTCGCCTGTTCGTACTGTCAGCTGGCAGAGTGCTCAGGCCATAATCAGATGGGTTGTACTCATGACGGCTGTCTTCACCTCCTAGAGTTACGACAAGGTGACCCACTTATTTGCAAGAGGAAACCTTCAGAGCGGTTACTTACAGATAGGGGAAAGGAAGAACGGTTCTCACAGGTACCAAGTGAGGTAAGTGGTAATAAAATTCAGTCTCTAGTTAATAATGTTGTTAGGTTAGCGCTTCATTTAGATAAACTAAAAGAGAATCACACTGTAGGGGAAGTTAGATACACTCAAGTATTATGTTATTAAATGTGTAGTCGTCTATCAATTTTTTAAGCTCCAACAAGATCTTTTCATGTAAGTTATTAGATTACAAGATGATGCATAGGGTATACCTCTTATGTGGCCAAGCACATGAATCTCCGTAGTGTAGGAAAAAGAGGAGAGAGGAAATGACTAGAAGAAATAAAGTAAAATGAAGTGGGTTTATAAGGTCAATTGGTGCCATGAAAAGGCTGGTTTTTACTAGCGCATAAGCATAAGGACATACGCAAGCGCAGAATGGTATATTTGACTCAATTTTCGATACCAGCTCTCCTCAATCCGACGATAAAGAAGATGGCGGACCAGGAGCCCGCCGTATTGCTTTTGATATGTTCGCATGAGGTCTGGGTCAAAGTGACGTATAATTGGTCCACGGCATTGTGCTTATGCTTGTGCTTATGTCGACCCAGTTTTCACTAGTCAAAGCTTCGACATAAGCATTAGCACAAGCACAGGAAGAACGAACTTGTCCGTTTTTCGTGTGCTTATGCTTATGCTTTTGTCGACCCAGGTTTCGCTTTCTAAAACATGTACTTGTGCTTATGCTTATGCACTAGTGAAAACTAGGCTTAAGAACTTAAATGCTGATACTAGAAGCTCTTAACAGTTGGCTCTGACGAATAATAATATTAATTGTTTTTGATCCTCTCCCCTTGTTGGGCTTTTCAGGGTTAATGAAAAAAATAATTTAAATGAAGCATAACATGGTTTAAAATCCCAACTGGTTGGAGGCAAACCAGTTGGCCATTTACAAGCATGAGCGAGGATTTGAACTGCAGTCAGGTAGCCTGAGAAAACAGCCGACATTTCATGACACCACCACTGGTTCCCCCGCCAAATGACGTCTGAGAAATGAGCGCAGAAATTCCATACTGATGACGCGTCATTACCCAGATCTGGGTGGTGCTTCTGATTGATTGAAACAAATTTCCCACGCGGCACGACCAATCAGAAACACTTCCCAGATCTGGATAGTGACGCGTCATCAATATGGAATTTCAGCGCTCATTTCTCAGACGTCATTTCGCGGGGAAACTAGAGGTGGCGTCGTGAAATGTCGCCTGCTTTCTCAGGCAAGCGGTGAGGGCGGTACTTGATCTCAGGGCCTCCGAATTACGAGTCCAGCACCCTAGCCACTCGATCACGCCGCCTCCTTAAGAATGGTTAGTTTTGAAACTTCAGATTGTGAATTTCGCTACAGATGGAAACTGGCCTCATCGACTTTGTTGTTCAATGAATTTGTGTACATCCTCGGAGACCCAGGGGCAGTCAGTCGGGTGGGAAGAAAAGGCGGGACGAAAGTTTTAAAGTAAGGGCGGAAGAGCCCCTGGGTACCGACTCTCATCGAATTATTTCCAAAAATTCAAGCGGATGCCGGCTCCTGATTGGGCACAAAAAATTCTTTGTATTATTGTGCCCAATCCGCGAACAGTTTCTCCTGAGTTCTTTTCGTGAGTTCGTGCACGACGGCTATTGTCTCGCCACACTTGCTCGGTTCGTTCACCAAGCTTGTGCGTGCAAGGGAAACTTTTATTTTCTACTTTCCAAACCAGAAGCAAAGGAACTACCGATGAGTCGGAAAAACGTTTGGGATGCTATCAGCAGGAGCAATTGAATTTGCCCCGAGAACATTCTGTTTCTGACGGACCACAATGTATCGTAAATAATAGGAAGCTTAAGTTGGGGCGGCGACGAGAAAGTCAAATAAGCAATTAAGCTTGACAAGGCAAAGCAACAACTTTGCACGTGAATCACGCTTTTTTGTACAGTTCTTTGCCGTCAACTGCACGACTACCCGTGAAAATTCCTAATTTCACGTTTTGTGGAGGACGTAAACACGTAATGACAAAATTCATTCTCCTCATGAACTTGGATATGGTTGATAGAAATTTAACTCCAGAAGAGTTCGCTTGCATTTGACATAGTAAGCATGTTGGATTAATCACGATAGAGACTGAAAAAACTCACTTTTTCATGCAACGTTTTCGTGGCTGTCAGCCATCGTGGTATCTTTTAAAAACTCTCTATAAATATTTACGCAAGCCGTGGTCGATGCAAGCATGAATACCTGTTGTAAGCTGAAGCTTGGTGAACGAACCGGACAAGTTTGGCGAGACAATAGCCGTCGTGTACGAACACACGAAAAGAACTCAGGAGATGTGTTCGCCGATTGGGCACAATAATACAAAGCTTTTTTAGTGCCCAATCTGGAGCCAGCATCCGCTTGAATTTTTGGAAATGGTCCGGTGAGAGTCGGTACCCAGAGGCTCTTTCGCCCGTATTTGAAAACTTACCTCCCGCCTTTTCTCCTGACCCGACTGACTGCCCCTGGGTCTCCGAGGATTATTTGTGTATCGTACAGTGTCTATAGTATTCTTAATCTTCTGCGTGCACTGTTTTGCTGTCGAAACTGCGCAACTTCATTGTCATATGGAGCAAAAAGTTTTGACATGACTTATGCAAGGGCTCTTTTTGAAGACATAATTATTGGCCTGCTGGCATAGGAGTTGGTATTTATGACTTCTTTTAATCGTAGGTCGCGTTTTCTTCTTAACATGCTTTTGCCTAGCTGTTTTTGGTATCTTTAATTTGTTGATATCATGTTGTGCAAACTTAAATCGAAATGTCAATTGTAGGCACCCAGGTAGAATTGTCATTCACCATTTTCACATAGGCCATAACGCACGTTGTTTACCCCCCAGAATTTTGCATAACCATTGTGTTCGATTTCTCTTGGAACGACTGTAATACCCAGGAGAAATTGGAAGCAATGGTTATGAAAATTTTGAGGGGGTAAACAAGATGCATTATGGACTATCTGAACATGGTCAATTGTAAAATGCGCGTTCTGTTTTCTGTACAGGAAGCGTATACTCCATCACCTGATACTGCACAAAGTCACCCAGGGCGTTCAATCTTGAAAGTTGCCCTTCTGGTCAATGAGTGGGGGTCGTCTAAGGGTGGCTTGTCTGCAATGAACAGAACACTTGCCATACATTTGGCAAAACAAGCAACGGTAGAAGTCACCATTCTTGTACCTGAATTTGAGTGTGGCGAAGAAGACAAGAGAACTGCCAGAAGTTACAACATTGCCATCAAGGAAGTACAGCGTCGCCCTACCTTCAGTGATCCTTTTGACTGGTTGAGATTTCCACTAAAAGATCTTGACATTCAAGTTGTGATAGGTCATGGTGCAAAGCTCGGTAGACAAGCACAAATTATCAGAAAGTCTCATCGCTGCAAGTGGATGCAGGTCGTGCATACTGAACCTGAAGAGCTGGCAATGCATAAGAACTATGCGAACGCCATTGCCAAAGGGGAAGGAAAGAACAGAGCTGAAGTTGAGTTGTGCCAAATTGCAGATCTCGTTATGGCAGTTGGACCCAAGCTAAAGGATGCCCTCTCGTCCAAACTACGTTCATCTCATCGAGATGTCTTTCAGTTGATACCAGGTTCCTTTGCAGAGTTTTCAGGTGCTAAACATCGTAAACAAGAGAGAGCAAATTTCAAAGTGTTAACCTTCGGCCGCGGTGATTTTGAAGACCTCAGTCTCAAGGGACATGACATTGCTGCTAAAGCCATTGTTGAGCTGCAGGATAGTTCTTACCGTCTCCTCTTTGTTGGTGCTCCTTATGGAAAGCAGGATGAAGTCGCAGAAATCTTACTTCAGACTGGTATTTCAAAGAACCAGCTGACTGTCAGATCATTTGTACAAAACAAGGAAAGATTGAAAGATTTGTTTTGCGAAGTTGATTTGGCCATCATGCCTTCAAGGGAAGGATTTGGGTTGACAGCACTGGAAGCGATGTCAGCTGGTCTTCCCATTCTAGTCAGTGGAAACTCCGGATTTGGAGAAACACTGCGTGGTCTTACTCAAGGCAAGTCATTTGTGATCGATTCTGATGACCCCAAGGAATGGGCAAAGGCAATTGATGCTATCCGTCAAAAACCTCGGATACAGCGGCTTGAGGAAATCCGAAGATTGCGAGAGGTTTACGAAGAGAAGTTCAGTTGGAAAAGACAGTGCCAGCTGCTTGTTGAAAAGATGTGGAAGATGGTTTATGGTTAGTAATCAACCTTATCTTAAATTAAAGAATAAATTATAATTAATAATTAAAATTAGTTGTTTTCAAAGTCATGCTATTTTATGTTCGGAGTGACTGTCTGCCTTTAAAAGTCAGAGGTACAGCAGCAGGCATCAAACAGCAGCAGACCACCGTACCTGAAATGTCATCTCAAGATACATGGTGGTCGGCTGGAAGGTTAGGCCATTACAAGGTCTATTAGACTGACGTACTACGACGTTGCAATCGTGATCTCACTCCTGTTGGGGTGTAGGACTTGGACGGTCTCGCTCGATTCACCTTTGGTAACTGATGGCAAGACAGAGTCACCACCGATCTTGCAGTCCTAGTTTATGGAGTCTTTATGCATCTTACATTTATACTTGCAGTAAGGCGCTACTGCGGAAATCCTTTCTAGGTCAGATTACGTCATCAGATCGAGGGGGCAAACGTATCGCAAAATAGTTCTTTTTTTTTTTGGTCTTGTACAGGCAGGAAGAGTGCAAGGCCCCTCTCGTAAGTGATTTTAAGGACAGTCGCCCAGTATCAACCACCAGAACTTCAAATTAGCGTAGCTCCGCTCTTGATGGCGTGTTACTAAGGTGTTTAACTGTAACTGAACCGGTGAAGGAAAAACAGTGGTAAATGGAGAAGACCGTTGATCTCGCCCAGCACAGGGCTGCCTCAGCCACTTTACTAACAACTGAGTCTCAGATTTAAATAGATACATAAACACTGAGTAGTAGATCATACCTTAGCGATTTTTAACTTTGATGTCGTGACCTTTGTTTGATTATTGTCGAACCTCGGTAAAAACGTACACGGAGGGGATCATTCACAGTGGTCGTATTTAAACGGGAGATCCTTATTAAGTCGAAGCACGAACACCATAAGACTAAATTCCACTAATGATGGGAAATGATCTCTCGGATGAATTGTTCTCGTTTTGTTTTTTGTCACGGATTAACGACTTGATAAGTTTTTTTTTAAACCTGGATTTTTTTAAGCACCACACCTTTTTGACCGGGAATAATTTTGTACTTTTGTTGTTTGCAGGTGACTTGAGGACATTTCACACACTTCACACACTTCAGCAAATCCAGTTAGACGCACACAGAGAGACCAGCCAAACTGAACTGTCGCTGAATTTAAAGAGGATTGCTCAAGAGAAAGGCTTTGTGATTTCTTGTAATCAAGAAGAGGGCAACTGCATGTTTTTTGCTCTTTCAGAACAGCTTGATGTCGCAAAAGGAATGAGAATATCTCATGAAGAGATACGGCAAACCGTGGTTTGTTTCCTTAGAGACAGTCCCACGTTGGTAAGTAAAATATTACCAGTAAGTTTATTATATTTCACGTCGGCTTTCGTAACGGTATTTTACAACTTACATCAACAAACAGTCATAACCTATATTTTAGGGACAATTGTTTTTGAGGACATTGTGAGCCAATGTTGTAAATATTTAACCCCCCCATCCCCCGTCACAGCATTGTGATGAGATACTGTGATCAATGTGAAGAATTTAAATTTTTTCACAACATCGTTAGAACACTTCTTTTGTTCTGCTGGTGGCTATGCTTATTGAACAACTCTGACATTCAAAAGAAACAAACGACTACTTTGACACATTGTACCTGGCGTGGGTAACAAGTGCATGTTGCTATTAGAAATGCGACTTCACAATTTGTGTAATAATTTTGTCCCCAATAAGAACCGCATATTCATGGTCTCCAGATTAGAAAGCAAGAGTTTAATAACAAATAAGCACGGCTGCACCCTTATTTTTTTGTCTTGCAGCCAGATGGAACAGAGCTTTTCCAATTTGTTTCTGGATACTCATCTTGGGATGATTACTTGACAAGCATGATGACAGATGGTACATGGGGTGATCACGTGATTCTCCATGGTGCGGCAAACTGCTTTGAAACATGTATTCACGTGATCAGCAGTCTGCCGCATCATAATGACGTCATAATTTGCCCAGAGTATGATGATAATGGTAACAACCGGCTTATGCTCGGTCACGTGCATGAGCTTCACTTTGTTAGCCTTCTTCCGGTTTGAAGAAACTGTCATTTTTGGGTTTGAGACGCTTGCACGCTGTCTTCGTAAGAATGGTACTTCAGATAGTTGTTTTAGTCGCATTTATTCCTGAGAGAAATATTGCTCCGAGCGAGTCAGGGGCTAGTTCTTGGTGTCTCTGTAGTTATTAATAGGGACTTAAAGATCTAACGAGGAGACGGCGCGTTGCCGTCGTGTCGTTGGATCTTAAGTCCCTAATGACTTCTATCAGAATTTAGCTCGGCTGTTTAACCTCTAAAGTTGAACGCCATATTTTTCCTTTCTCTGTTAGGTTATTAATTTGTCGCAAAGTTTATTACTGTTTGCGGAAAGTAATTTTCCAAGTCTGCCTACCCGTTTTAAGTTGGCCGGAACCTATTTATATGCGTACCTTGATATCACCCCGCATTCAGAATAAAGACAAAGCTTTGGGTAAGAATGCTCTTAAAGGTGGGAGATAGTCCGTCGGCACTCTTCAACTATTTGTGCGTCAAATTTCACAAATGTGTTGAATTTTGTGCAGCGAGTTGTGAATTCACGATTGACTTCAAACTTGCAAAGATATAAACCTTGAGAGCTCTGGGCTTATCTGATGAATGTAGGCAAAAATCTGTGGTATGGTTTCGAAGTTACTTTAATTTTTTGTAGAAACGCGGTTTTAAATAAATGCCGATATCACACACTTTTTACACCTACAAGAAAAAAAATGACATTTTCTTTAAGTTCCACTATTTTTTGTTAAGGATGCCAATAATCACAGAAATCGGTTAAATCGTTCCTGCTGAAAAACGCGATTAAAAAACAACCATCTTGCATATAAATAGGTTCGGGCCACCTTAATTGAGGCCCTGCCGGGGGGTTCCCATGTCGCCCGTCTGAATTTTTTCCTAACGCATTTTGATTTGTCTTCATAGTGGCGTCGTGTTCCCAACGCGCGCACTTCCGGATCCTGTTGAATACGCTCAGTGTGGTTTTTGTACTTAACATATTCTAAAGCAGGCCTGGTTGCCATCTTGAAGGCAGATGCTAGGGTTCAATAGGTCACGTCTGTGGATTGTTATCGATTGATTTCGATCCATGTTGTTGATTTCGTTCCATGATAATTATGATGGACAACTAACTTAAATTCCAGAATATATTGTCATTTTCCTGTTATCCAAATGCTCAATCCTGGTTTTAGTAGTCGCACAGTGATACTCAAAAGAATCTGTGATTTCTGCAACTTTTATCTATCAACTTGTAATGTAATTAGTGTAAGATTAAATAAACTAACGTTTTTGTTTCGTAAGTTAGCTTTGCTTCTTCGGTGAGTCAGTCAGCAGGTTACACCAAAATTTGGTTTACAAAACTGATTTAAACTGGGTCGAGTTCGCATTCGAAGAATCAGTGTTTTATAATCTTTTTAAGGTGGTAAATGGACTTAATAAAACCTAGTTTGTGTGTTACCTAAGTAAAGCAATCAGTTTAAATTGCCTTAAAATCTTGTCGGAACAGCAGTTTCAATTTCGTCGGTCATAATTATTTTATTTTATTAATTTGTTTTTTGCCGTTAAATTCAGATTTTCATTATTTCATCTTCATCTTTTCCGGGTATATTACGATGAGAGAGGACTGGGTTGACATGCTATCGCCTAAAGCTGATGGGAACGTTTTAAAATATTTCAAGTTTAGATAAAGACCAGTTAGCCAATACCCATGGACACTTCTGGAAAGAGCGCCTTATAATTAGGAAACCTATCGCAGTAAAAGCGAGCGAAGATATTAAACCACCAAGTCGTGAAATGTTACAGACGTTTCAGACTCGTATCCAATCTTCTCTCACCCCATAAATAGCGACTGGGTACGAGTCTGCAGACGTTTGTCTGAAAAAAAAAAACCGCCGTGGAAGGGTCAATATTCTAAGTCACCATGATAGCTACCCCAATAAAATGTAACTATATGTACCTTCATAAAAGTGAATGCGGTGGTTTATATGGAATTTTCGCATTTTAATAGAGCTTTCTTTCGTGTCGGCGGTAATTTTGTCCTCGCTAACCCTCCGAATTTAATTATCCTTTAAGTTCAATTCAGTAACAGTTTTCGCTTACTGACTGGCAAAAGAAATCGAAACCAAACCAGCTTTAGCTATAGTTTATAGAGTTCACCAATACTCATCCAAAGCCCAGAACTCAACATTCATTCGACGATAGGGTAACAAAAAAAGTAAAATATTAAGATAAAATCAATAGGCGTTGATGATCCTAAATTTGCCTACGTACTTGAATAATTTTCATCGCATTAACTGGCCAGCTAATTCATGTGTGGAGCTCGGTTACCGGAAAACTGCATTAAATAGAGGTTGAGGGAAAAAAAATAAAAAATAAAAACGAGATCTTATAGGGCCTTTTCCAAGGAACACATCGCAATATTTCCTCAAGGAAACGATGGTAGAAGGGCAGTATGAGATAAAGCGGCCAGTGTTGCCGGTACGTTCATTCCGCCAATCCTTTTTGCGACCACGCTTTGCTTTGGGTTTCAAGTCCGTTCATTTATGGCACGTGTTGCTTTATGAAATGAAGAATGTTCGTATTCACTTTGCTTTCTAATAAACACAAGATTGCTTGGTTCGTTACTTGAACGAACACCATGAACAGCGATTCTCAGTAAGTTATTACTTTCTGTATATAATCAATCCCTTTGATGTATTCAGCGAAAAGGGTTTCATATTTCTTTGAGCTTAAACTTAAAAACTGAGGAAATCAGAGATTTCTCGCGCAAGAGACTAAAATGTACTTACAGACACCTTAGAAAACTCTTACAATAAGGAAACTTCTGTGAAATCTCTTTTAAAATTACTAGCAAAATATTTTATCTTGGTTTTATGATGATCTCTTGATCATGTTTATAGAACCCTTTTCACCTGGTAAAAAAAATAACACTGCCGGCGGGGGTATTTTAACTTTACAGGGTGGCAAAGGGGGTGGGGGGCGGTGTACCTGTTGCTAAAATACTCACAAACCTGTTGTGCGAGAAAATACAAAGGTTGACAGGCCGCACATTTATACGGGG